ATTTTCCGCTGCGGCGTGATACACACATTTGGGTACACTTGTGAGTATTTCTGGTAGTAACGATGAATGTGGGATACACTTGCATATTTCTGCACAAAATCAGTTGTTCTGAAATGGCACAACCCTTTGATCTTAATTCAGATATATTAAACTTATTTGATAAAGTATATCTTTGTAATTCCTTTCAGAATGTGTGAAAGAGAAACTTTGGGATTCTGGCCTTTGCAGATCATCTACATACACAAACAACTTTACAACACACTACAGGAAAGGGACAATTCAAAAAGCATAAGAGGGCCCCTTTAATTTATCTTTCTTTGTTTAAGTGCTGTAAAAAAAAAAAGGACATTTCTTGTTTGGGAAAATCTAATCAATAATAAAACGGATTTTGATTTATCTGATTCTATATCTGTACGAGTTAATGAAGAAACATGTTACCCAGTCCAACATGGATGTGATTTTGGTAGACTCATTGGAGCTCTAAAGAACAGATATTTATCAGGCATTGCGTTCGTAAAGGGAAATATTAAAAAACAGAGAATATCTCCACCCATAACGTAAAAACGACTCACTACGAACACATCACATTTCACATCACAACAACGCTACAGCTAAACAGTACCTTTTTCCTCCTGCCCCTCCTCCTCGTCTTCGTCCTCTGTATTGTCTTCTTCATCTCCATTATCCTCTTCCTCACTTTTCCTCCAATCACTACTTTCCTCATTTCTCTCCACTTCACTATTTTCCTTGCTCCCCCATGCCTCCTCGCTACTGACACTTAAGCCATGAACAGTGCTGTCATTTTCATGGACGTTCTGTATATCATCCCACAGATCCCCATAGCCTGAACGATGAGGGAAACACTATTGATTAACTCTTTATCAAAGTATTACATCACACAATGTTACTCTACACCAAACAGAGACAGTACACACAGTCGATGGACCACGGCTCCGACACACAACATCTACACCAAGCAAAAAGCCAACACACTGACCAACTACAGCACATACGTCACAAATTACACACTCCTTTCATTTAAAAAAAGCTATTTCTTACACTTCCTCAGGTTGAATCCAAGGACAATGTACACTTATCACTTTTGAGCTATTATATTAAACAATGAAAGCAACTTAATTAGGTTAAAATACCCTTGTACTATGGGATCTATCAACTCTATAGCTACTGCGAACACCAAAGACTTGCCTTCCATTGCCGGTTTCTTAAGCTGCCTGTTCAGCTCATCTAGTGATAAAACACAAGTAAGACAGGCTCAGAATTAAAAAAGATGTCATCTGTGTGTCTAACAAAGAGGATGAACAGCAGTGCTACGTATCACTCGAGCAGCAGTGCTCTCCATGGATGGTATTCTGCTTTCATCACGGCATGGCTGATTTTGTACACTACCTGCATGATTTGCAAAAGGCCTGGTGAAGGGTCTGCTGTCCACCTCATGATCTTCAGCTTCTCCTTTTTCTCTTTCTCCGTCTGTGTAGAAGTTGCCCAGCTTCTGCACCAGGTCGGACACTTCATCTGAGATTGGGATGGTCTCCAAAATCTGAAAACACACAAAAGTAATAACGGTAAAGCTCAAATATGCAGAGTTTCAAGTTGTCACAAAAACACAAGCAAGATTTTCAATAAGGCACCAGAAAAAAGTAAGGAAGAGAAGGAAAAGTAGCCTTATAGACCCAGAGAAATGGTCCGCCTATATAATTACACATTATAAATAGACATACGGGGTGATAGGGCCGCACACTTTTCCCACTACAATATGTCATGAAATCAACGTAAAGAGAGGTGTGTACAGTAATGAATGTTGCCTTTTTTCAATTTGAGTTTTTTTTTTAATGGACTTACCATCTGGATATCCTCAATATAATTCTTCATGGCTTCCTTCTTAGTCATATTTCCTAAAGAGCTCCATGCATCCCTGGTAACACAAAGTGAACACTGAAAGACTAAACATATGCAGTTGCAGCGATGTTCAATTTTGGAAAAAACTCACTAAACTATTAAAAGCTGTATTTTACTGCAGGATTATCCATGAGATATACCCACACCATTTTGCAGTAGCAAATGGTTTTCTAAATGAGCTATGACGTTGGAAAATTGGTATTTCAGGCTTGTTAAACCCCTTTGCAAATAAACAGGAAGTGAGACTCTGATAGTATACAATGATAGTGTGTAACATACAAAATACACAAACTGTCATTCTACTGTGTGGCATGAGCAGTACCTCTTAATTAAATCAAGATAAGTACCATTTTTCTTTTCCATGAGAGTCCCAGAATCCATTAGGCCTGGGGATCTCGCATGGCCCTAAGGTGGCCTGCTTATAGTAACTGCAGAACATCAGCAACATGTCATCAGAGGGCTGGAACGGACCTGAGAAATGAAGATAATTATAAAAGATGTTAATTCATGTTTTTAGCTTATTCCTATCTATTAGAATATACATACATTAATATATTCAAACATTAGACTTTAGGCATTTTTTTACAAGTGTGTTAAATAGGTTTTTGTGCATGTAAATGGTCTGCAAAGGCTAAAATCCTTAAAGTTCCCTCCAGAGGGAGTTTCTCTCCCACATACTCCTCCCCCCCCCTGCATGAAACATCTCCATTTTACTTGTTTGTTTTCTTCTGTAACATAGTGACATCATAACACTTACACTTCTATTTGCTAGCGCTCCAACACATTGTACTCGATAGCCTATGGCGGGTCATCTCTAAGTGTTTGACCAATCACAACAGACTGGTCTAACCAATCAGAGTCGACTGGGCTCTGGTTTCACACAGAGGGTGAAAAAAGGTGCTGCAGTACAGGCAGTTTGAGAAAAATAAAGACCTTTTAGAAAATGTAAGCATGTAAACATGTCATAGTAGAGGCACAACATACAAATTAGCATAATATGGCCCCTTAATATGGTAGTTGAGTAAATGTACTAGTCAGGTAAATATGCAGATCCAGGAAAGGTTTGGCAGAACTCATGGCATACAGCCTATACACTTGTTCCCTTGGACAACCTTTTAATTGAAACCAACCAGCGTCGTAAGACATTAGTTCCGGCTTCCAGCATCCCTTTTTGTCTTCTGTTTTCCAGTAATATTGCTCAAAAATAATTTCCAACACAAAAGGAAAAATAGATTTGCAAGGCAGCTTGACATTTTTTTTCTTCTGAGACACAACATGAGCTACAGGAGTTGTTATTAGACTTGAGAAACTACATGTACAGTTAATCAGCTCTTATCCTTATAGCAGCTTTGTCAATAGAGGGCCAGACAGGAGCTCTGCATGTAGGTCAATCACCTGTAGTGTTTACACACAAACAAGCACCGACACAACATACAGCAAATAACTCAAAGAAGAACCCTTCATTCATAGAATTGGATACAGTTACAAAATAAGTCCTCACCATCTTCAGGCAAACTCCGGATCACTTTAACTGCTGCAACAAATTTCGCCTCCAGGCTGTGTCCGTCCTCCTCCTCCTCCGCCATGCTGAGTCCCAATACGGAGGAAATGAAGGAGTCCTCACATCTTGAACATAAATATAAAGCAATTAATGAGGAAATAGTGCAAAAGGTCTACAGGGAGGGACACTTGCACACAATTTGCCATCACTGCAGCTGGTTGCCACTTGTGTTATCTAAGGAGGAAGACTGTTTCCTCTGTAACCTGGGAGATGTTCGGATAAATCTGGTCTATATAATTAGCCATTGTCGGTTCAGCGAGAATACACTATATTATGATTTAACATGAAGGATTCCTGATGTGTTTGATTTGATAGACACTCACCACAAAGTTCATATTCGCCGGTGCTCTAATTATTCCATTAGCCCGGTGTTTGTCTGCAATATGTAGCAGAAAGCCAATTCCGACTCGGGTCAAGGATGAGCCAAGCTGTCAACGTCTTGAATACTGAAGATATCTGGGAAATGTAGTTTTTATGAAACAAAGCTTCGGTTAATTGTGTTTAAAACGTCACGTTGAATCCTTCATGTCCCACAAACCCCTCTGTACCGGGATTTAAACCGCGGTGGTTTATGGGAAATGTAGTGTCGTGAGGTTTTTTCTTGTAGAGTAAGCATAACAGTAAAATATGTTAACACAACATATGTTGAAATACTCTACACGGACTTAAGTACATATTTCAATTTTAATTGTGCACTTTGAATGTTATAATTATCGAAATAAATCACATGAGTCTTCTGTGGGTATTATGTAGGTTGATATATAAACGGTAGTGTAGAAGTTTTATTGTAAAATGTTATCTTTTTATTTGATACAAATTACCACAGTTTAAAAATAGTCATTCATAATTTAATAGGCTAGTACTGTTTTGTTTATACCATGTTCAAGGCTTCCAAAATGTTATTAGGATATATATATTCAACTTAAGTTTATTAATTGTGATTACTATTTAAAGGACATATGTGATGATAATGTTGTTGTAAGTTATTACATTGCATTTAGCTGACGCTTCTATCCAAAGCGACTTACAATAAGTACATTCGACCAGGAAGACACAACCTTGAAGAAAACAGAATCATATAAGTACATCAGGTTTCATAGAGCCAAACATTTCAAGTGCTACTCAACTGGCTTTAGATAAGCCAGTCCTTTATTAGTATATAAGTGCTCTGTTAGCAGTTATTTGTTAGTAATTATTAGTTATCGTTGTGTTACTATGAAATTATCTTCAATTTACCAGATATACACTCTTCCTCAGTGCCACAATGCAACATACAATATAATTAAGCCATGAAAAGAAAAATACATAAAGTTCTGCAAGAAATTATTTTACACAAATTATTTTAAAATAATTATATGAAAAATGTCATGCCAATAATAGAAAAACACATCATAATTAATGCTATTATTATAACATTATTTGTTATGGACTCATACGTCATCATGGTGAAATGTCATTGGTCTGTTGTTCTTCTCCTCGGCCTCTCGGCCAATCACCGGCCGATGTTTGTGACGTAGCTGCCATTTGTCACAGGCTGTTGTGAATCGAGGCCAGCGGCCCCACAATGCCAGGCGGGGGAGCCCCTCTCTCAGCGACACACCAGAGCATCACCGCCTCGCCTCAATGAAAAGGACAGCGAGAGGAGAGAAATGCAAAGGGATGTAAGATGGCAGAGCTACAAATGCTATTAGAGGAGGAAATCCCTGCCGGCAAAAGAGCGCTTGTGGAAAGCTACCAGAACCTGTCCAAGGTTGCGGAATACTGTGAAAACAATTATGTTCAGGTAAGAGATGCCTAACCACGGTTAAATGTGGTCATTTTTATCCGCTCTCTCCGTCGTGTCTGCGGTGCTGTAGTAGAAGTGAGTAAAACCACAGGGACAGGAAATGCTGGTCGTAACGAAAGGGGTCCTTAAAACCGCTAACTACACGTAGTGGCCTTTTCTCCCGGTATAATAATTCAGTCGTGGCTTAGTGCAGTGTTATCAGGCATGGCTGCATTTCGGTATTTTCTCTTTTTTAGCTAGTCCTTGCGGTTTACCGGAGACGTGCTCACATCTAAAGGCTGTGTGTTGAAGGCTGCTGGGGGCTTACAGAGGGTGTGTCGTTGTTATGACCAAGTGGTTTTGTCACATTCTCTGATAGGTACATCTGACAAAATAATATTCCCTCCTGCATTTTTATACAGTTCGACAATAGCGTTCATTTTCCTTTTTTGCATGACAGGCGTTTGGTCCACATAACGGCGTTATAAAGCAAACACCGCCAATGACATCTTTAAAGAGACATTTTTACTCGTGAAAAATGTAAAAACTAACACTTCCAACACTGTAAGTAACATGTTGTGTGTGTTATTAGGTTATTACCCTCGAAACGCATTTAGAAACATACCATTAGTCCCTATAAACTGGTTTTAACTGTAGCATGTTTAGTACAGACCATACTACCCTACTCACTAGTCATGCTATAACGATTTCCCATTAGCCATTAACATTAGCATCTGTAAGTTGTTTATTATTAGTGTATATCATTATGTGGGCCAAGTCCTAATAGACTTCTAGGGGGGAATAAAGACCTAGATGTGTAGTAAAGCTGCTCATGATGCAGACACATGCTGCTTTTTGCATATTAGGATTGAATGCTAAATCAGGGTTAGGGAAAGTATGAATCAGAAGCACAGTGTGAACACGTTTGATTAATGATCTATTTATTTAATGCAAGTAACTGTTTTAAAGAGGGTAATACACCTTCAAAAATAATGTTATACGTGTAGCAGCAAACACCAACATTTTCCACTCTTCTTGGGGGTCTCCATCGGACAACATCTCAATGATCCATGGCCTAGCGCGCATAAAATATTGAAACAATTTGGAAGATTTCTAGCCAGAAGAGTTCCTCACAGTAACACTCATCGCTCTGTTACATTGCCACAGTGAGAATTGTTTCAGTTAAAGTGGAGTGTGAGCTAACATATCATCACTAGGTTAAATGATGCGGTGTGAACAGCAGCGTCTGTTGACAGAAACCCTACTGTGCTCCAGCGTGGTCTTTTTGATTGACTCTGGTGGTGAGAAAGCAATGTAGGTTACACTGCTTATATACTGTATTATTGTGCAGAAAGTTATCCGAGAACTTTAATATTAAGCTCAAAGGTATTGCTGTTATGACTTTTTATTTAGGTGTCACAGTTACTTCCTTTGTGGTTAGTTCGGTGGAAATGTCACATCTTCTGTTGCCAAACGTATCTATTATTAGAAGCAGTGGGTTAGAGGTTAAACCATATGGCTGATGTATTGATTTGTTGTTTACATGTTCCCTAGGGAATGTTTAACATTTCAGTCATTTTGATGATTGGATGGAAATTAAATGATAATCTTGGTTGACTACACCTGGTGAATAGCTTGACCCTAGGGGGTTAGCACAACTGTCCAAACAAAGGATGGCTTTCCGTCGTAGCATCCTAACACAATGTCCCTTCTCATGACATCTGATTACCCATGTCTGTAAGCCAACATGTCATAAAGCCATACATGATACTGTGTATATTGTATGAGTGCCAGGATATTATTAAAGGTCCAGAATATCCAGTTAAAAGAAAAAAAAGAGCTGCACTCATGCAAATCATTCCAAATAAGTTTAATTAACCCCATTTAAATCTTGTAAGATTTGTCAGGAAGATATATATTTGGGGATTGCCCACAGTATTGAGTATGTAAGTCGCTTTGGATAAAAGCGTCGAACAAGTGTCATGTAATGCATCTCTGGTGATTTCCAATACCATGTAATGTAGTCTCATTCACGTTCTGCAATATTTACAGTATTGCCTGGAATATTGAAGATGCTTGTATGTTAGTGCTGCAGCATGAGCATTTCTTCAGGGATAGTAAAAACATTAACTCGGATTGTGCATGCATAAGAACACACTGGACCATCACAACAGGGAGTTAAGAGTGAGGAAGCGGTACATTAGTGCACTATTGGATGTATGTAACTATATTCTAAACACTCTTCTTAGTTTAACATTTAAAAAACGCAGTTTATGCATTCACCATTGACCTGCATATCAAAAATTGCTCAAAATAACACCCAGGCAGCGCATGCCTTGATATGTAAATAAATAAAAAAAGACGAGTTTTATTCTTAGATTAGATATTTGAAGTAATCCATTTGAAAAGCTGTCGCCGACAAAATGATTGGTGGCATGAAAGAAGAACTCTGCTTTGTTAGTACCCTTCGAAATGCCTTTGTATACCAAAATAACACCTCTTAGATGATATCTGGTGTAACATTGAACAGTGCTGTTTTTGAATTGACCCGTTCAAAAATGCCAGATCTTAAAATGAACACCACTTTAATGTTATTCAAGTATGAGCTTTGCATATCAAAACCACAAACGTGCAAATCAATATGTATGAGTGGCACTTTTTAGATGGACCAGCCAGTATCAGTTTTGGTTTCCAAGTTAAAGAATACAGTTGTTCCTCTCAATTTAGTGCTTCAGGGATGATGTATTTCTGTTGGCAGTTCAAGTCCTCTTCCATTGGCTTTTGAATTTTATCAGAAAAAAGTATTCATACTTACAATTTTTGATCGGCACGATAATCTCAACATATTAACAATACCTTATGATTTTTTTTAAACGAAAATGCAATTTTCAGAAGTAAAAGGCTAACGTTTCAAGACAGTCACATGACTTCACGTCACCGCTAAGCTAAATGCTGCTAAGGTTCATCTTTATGACCTTTAGTGGTCTCACTTGGCCACATGTTAGCAACCATAGTTTTTTATGACACATAGGCTTTGGATATTGTCGTAAAACAAAAACATGAACATCTTGTAAGCTTCCATCCATCCGTCCATCTTCTCCCGCTTATCCGTGGTCGGGTCGCGGGGGTAGCAGTTCCAGCAGAGAGCCCCAAACTTTCTTTTCCCTGGCGACATCAACCAGCTCTGACTGGGGGATCCCAAGGCGCTCCCAGGCCAGCGAAGAGATATAATCCCTCCACCTGGTCCTAGGTCTACCCCTTGGTCTCTTCCCAGCTGGACGTGCCTGGAACACCTCCCTAGGGAGGCGCCCAGGTGGCATCCTAACTAGGTGCCCGAACCACCTCAACTGGCTCCTTTCGACGCGAAGGAGGAGCGGCTCAACTCCGAGTCCCTCCCTGATGACCGAACTTCTCACCTTATCCCTAAGGGAGACACCAGCCACCCTGCGGAGAAAACCCATCTCGGCCGCTTGTATCCGCGATCTCGTTCTTTCGGTCATGACCCATCCTTCATGACCATAGGTGAGGGTAGGAACGAAAATGGCCCGGTAGACAGAGAGCTTTGCCTTCTGGCTCAGCTCCCTTTTCGTCACAACGGTGCGGTAAAGCGACTGCAGTACCGCTCCCGCTGCTCCGATTCTCCGGCCCATCTCACGCTCCATTGTTCCCTCACTCGAGAACAAGACCCCGAGATACTTGAACTCCTTCACTTGGGGTAAGGACTCATTCTTGTAAGCTTGTAAAACATTATTTTAGGAATCTAACCAAAATCTTTTAAAAAAACAGTTGACAGTTCGGGACCAGTGAACCTGAAGTGCCAACATTCCAACATATGTCCGCATTATATTCCTACACCACTCTATAAAAAGATGTATGAGTAAAGGGGTGTTAGATGGAAACCCATGGATATGCTTAATAATTCCCTGATGTTGACCCCCTCAGAATTCCTCACCCCCGACCGGCTGCTCACATGATACCCCTCTGACTCACAGCCATTCATCATGACTCATGAGGTTCAGGAAGGTGTCAAACCTGGAGCTCAGTGTGACCTGGCACCCAGACATTGCATTACTTCAGTGCACTGTTAATGTTGAGTCTCACAAAAAAGTAGTTCCAAGTGAAGCTCTTAGAAGAAGCCTTTTGTGAGCTTAATATGAAACATCATTTCTGAAGGCAGGAGAGAGAATCAGTATGCAGAATCGAGTGTTCACCTAAGCTGTGTAATAAGCATGTTTATGTATATATCCTTCAGTCAAGTGGCTCCTTGCAATCAGTCTGTGTACATGGCTTTGGAAACATTACTCAGCATACCTGGGGATTTCTGCAAACCACACTAAAGCTGGTACATTTGTGTATTTTTCCCCCCTAATTGTAGTATGCGATGGCAAATAAGTCAGGATAAGGTGGCACAGTGAGCATATTTACTACATTATATAATAAACAGGTATTGTGAAAGGCGTCATATTCAGTAAGATTTACGATACTAACGACTTCGGGGCTGCAGGTGGTTTCCAGGTGGGCAGATGGCCCTTTTTGGTGACATGATGCAGGCTGTTAACCTCCTGTTACCACACACGGACCAAATTGTTGCTAGGTAACAGCTGGCAGATCATGGTTGATGTCTTTGTGGCATTCATATGATTTTAGTTTAGAGCCTATGGATATGAAAATATTCAAAGTGACTGATAAGCAGTTATAGATCAAACTATGTGCAGGCTTTTAAAGGAATAGCTTGACATTTACATTTTTTTTGTTGAGGAGTGTTAGATGGGGGTATTGACACAGCATCGGTCCATTAAGTATTAAACTACAGCCAAGAGATAATTAGATAAGCTTAGCATAAGAACAGGACATAGTAACAATTATTCAATTATTATTAGAAATTAGTAGCTGCCATGTGTCAAATACAGAGTAGGCTATATGTATATATGTATATGTATATATATGGCATATGTTTTCCTTATGTTGAAAATATCAATTAAAAAAGTATAAATTATAAAAGGTTGGGGATTACATAC